TCTGCTTCTCCATATTTGCCCTGGTTGAGAAGGACCCAACCAAAGTTGTTGATGCTGGTGAGTGTGTCTGGATGCTCGGGCCCCAGCACCTTCTCCTGATAAGTAAGAACCTTATAATACAGTACCTCTGCTTCATGGTATCGCCCATCGCAATCCAGGCAAAGCCCACACCTCTGTGCAAGATCAATAATATTCTCATTGCTGTTGTCTTCTCTGATCGCAGCGTATTGTGCATGTGGTAGGTATACCCGCCATCTTGTTCGATTCGTTTGACTAATATCTGACAACAAGTCACTGAGTCGTAATACTGCCTTTCGGTCCCAGTCAGACAGTTGTTTGCCTCTTTTAAGCCACCCTCGCGTGGCCAGATGGACCAGACGATGCATGTCAAATGCCAATCCATCTGTACGTTTTGTGATAAACGAAAATGCGTGCAGGATCCCGACTGCGTCAGTCTTCTTCTTCCGCGATAATCCCTCAGAATCTGGTAAAAGTGATTGAGGGATATCTTTCGGGTCCACACAGGCCATAAACGCCAGATATTCAAATGCAAGAGAACTGCGGCGACGGATCTGTTCGAAGGAGATAAGCCATGTCTTTGCTACTGCATTCTCGATATCGTTATATCTGCCGCTATCTTCAAATTCTTCACTCAGGAGCTCAATCACATTATCATCCTGGTCAGATAAGAGTTTTTTATACTCTGTAAGAGATATTTTCATCTCGTTGATGTATGCCGCGGCTTGAGCAATTGCCAGTGGAAGATAGGTAAGCTCCTGCAGCAAAGTCGGCAAAGAAGATTCATCAGCTTTAGTCAAAACAGATATTGTCAGATACTTCCTCATGATCTCCGAGGCCGCCGACTCATCCATCTCCGGTACTGTTACTATATTCTTTCGAGCAACCCTTGTGGCCACCTTGCGATCGCGCGTCGTCCAAATAATGGTCCCATGCCTGCTTTGGGGCATGTAATCCAGCAATCGCTTACCGCCTGCTTCAGCGGTAATGGGGGATGTCCACAGATCGATAACGTCCGCATTGTCCAATACCAGCAACCATTGACCAATGCTCTCATCGCTGAGAAATGCTTGGACCAATTCTATGGTGTTGGCTCCTTTGTCTGTACAGCCTGGAAGGCGTAGCTTCTCCGCGACTTTCTGAAACGCTGTTTGCAAGTTGGCTAGACTGTTGACCGGAATCCAGAATACTGCATACTGTTTTCGGACCCGGTGGGCTAGCTCTAGTATAAGCTGTGTCTTGCCAATCCCGCCGAGGCCGATAATCGCGATTCGTTTTGTTGCATCGGAATTTTCATCTAGTCTCTGTTTCAGACTTAGAAGCAGTTCTTTGCGGCCAGTAAAATGCGGGTTGCGCTCAAATGGAACCTGCCACCGGGCACGGTCACGCCCTAAACACCAATTAGCTGCAGTCCTCGAGAAAAAAATCAAAGGTCACGATATACATTGCATCCAAAGAACTACTTGTAATTGATACTCCTACTCGAGTTAGTCAAGACTATTACTCAGGTAATCAAGCACTGACTTCAATTATTTTGGCAAAGGAAAGATCGGTTGCATCTATAATTGCAAGATACAATTAGCAAGGAGATAATAGGCTATGAGAAGTCCTCTAAGTACACACTCTTCTTTGACTCCAGATTCTGGATGCAATCTCGCACCCGAAAGTTTACCGTCTGATGGTCAAGGTATTCCTGTGTTGCTGCTTCAATCAGACCTTGATCCTGGTACTCTGCCAGTCCCACGTCCTGCAGTCCTTGTTCGACGTTGAACCGGAAGTACCGCTTGCTGTCATAATGCTGTCGCCATCTTGAGATGAATTCTCTCTCAGTACGCTCGGTCTGAGTAGTCAGTTCTGGCAGGGATTTGGATAAGAACTTAAGCAGATTGTCGTCCAAAGCTTTCTTCCCGGGGTTTCCAGTCCCAATTGAAATGAAACATTTCACCATCGGCTTAAGCTCAGCATTCTCTGAACACCACATATTTATCGCTTCATCTTCCACCTCATTGACTGGATTATTCGCTCCGAGAGCACCGTCCGCGAATCTCCGAGCTCCGATCGAGACTGGCTTGAAGAAGGTTGTGGCAGCAGAGGTAGCACGGGCAGCCTCGCAGATTGTGGCAGAAATCTCATGTTTGCCAGGAATCGGATAGCTACGAAGACGGACGATGTCCTTGGTTTCCTGGCTAATGCTGCAGACGAATCTGCACATATCAGTAGAGTTATAAACTATCAGGTATAGACTTACACCCTACAGCCACGCTCCGTCTGATTATTGAAAAGATCGGTTGGGTTTGCCCCATGGCTGCTGACAACTTGATTGATTGCTTCCTCAAGCTTGCTGGCATCGAACCGGGGCTCGATGTTGCCGAAAAGGCTTGCAGCGAGGTTCCATCTGACTGGCTTCCGAAAGATCCTTTTCATCAGTTGGATGTATGCTGTGATGCACTCATCAACATCCATCTCCAGCCGACCCAGCATGATTGCAATCAGTCTGTCTCTGTCAGTGTTACTACTATTTTCCTCTAGCACTCACGAATCTCACCCGCCTGTGCTGGTGCCTCCGATTAGGTCAAAGACCTCGCATGGCTTCTTTGGTGGCGAGCCGTCGGCCCGTTTCAGGTTCAGCCGGTCCATTAAGCCTTTGAGGATGTAGAGAGTTGACAGCCCGCGCACGCCGCCGCCGTCGAGGGACAGCAGGCACAGGCCGGTACTGTCCAGCGGGTTCGGCTCTCCGCCGTAGATAGTTGCTACTTGTTGCATGCTGGAGTTTTTTTTCAGATGGGTAAATCTGCTTGGAGGATAAGGCGGAAGATAGAAGACCAGCCATGGGAAAATTCTCACCAGTCCAGTGGCTGTGGGATATATTAAACGCCTGCGTAGCACAACACCCCTCCCTGCAGTCAAATCACACTGCTTGGGACCAACCGATAGTCACAAGGCCATTCCCTCATCGACGGCAGTTGATTCGTCCATCCGTGGCAGGCTTAGCGTCACGCCTCTATCATTGGCTAGCCATACTATCGTTATTTAGTGAATCTCAGCTGGTGAGGCCCCTCTCTCGGCCCGGTGAAATTCCGTACAACATCTCACAAACCCGCCTCCCTTAGACAGCCGTTCAAGCAGTGCCACGTCGAAGGTGATTTGGAAACATGGCACCCAGACTTTCAATCTCACAACTTGAACTCATCCGTGACGCACTAACAACCGACCCACTACTGAGAGCCTCTCAGATCGCGAAGATAGCTGACTGTAGATCCCGTTCAGTAAGAACCATTCGCACGAACCTGGAGTGCTTTGGGGATGTAAGAGCCCCTCCCAATGGGGTCGGCCGGCGCCGAAGTATCACCCCGTCAATGCCTTGAAAAGCCAGATATGTACCAAGATGAGATGGTACTGTTCTTATGGGATGAGTTTCGCGTTCTGGTTACAGTCCATAGTATCGGTCGCGCGCTGAAGTCTGTCAATTGGTCCAAGAAAACATCCCGTCAGATCGCCAGGCAGCGCAATGCTGATCTACGGGATTTCTACCTCTATAATCTCTCTGAATTTCGATCATATCACCTTGTCTATGTTGATAAATCAGGGTGCGACAGACGAGCAGGATTCCGACGGACCAGCTGGTCTCCTCTTGGCGTCACACCGGTCCAGGTGTCGCAATTGCAACGAGACCAGCGGCATCAGATTCTTCCAGCATATGCTCAAGACGGGATTGTCTTGTCTCGCGTCTTCCGGGGATCTACTGATGCCGCTCTCTTCGAAGACTTCATTGAACAACTTCT